ATCCAAGTTTTTATTGAGTTGCTTCACTGGACTGACATTCCTGGTACAAATGAAAAGGGTGGGGTAGGAGATTCTCTTATGTACTGCACCTCAAGTTATTTTCTGTTTGCCCTGGCAAAACAATCCTTTGACAATGCTATTGGCCAGGAAAGGTAAGAGGACTCTTGTCACTAACAACATTGCTCAATGGGACTGGTAACAAGAGGCTGTTTGGGGGGAAACAGTCTCCAACTCTCTCTCGAAACTGCAGCCCTGCTAAGGTAGGAAGCAGAGTTACTTTGAACAGAAGTAACTTAGTTCGGAATATTCTACAATTTAAAAAATATTTTATTAAGTGCATAATAGCATAATCTGTGAATAAGTAATAGACAGTTATTGTGTGTCCATATTGTAAGTAATGGGGTATCTCTATATTATCTATTCATCTCTTTTACAAAGTTATTCTTTTCACATTTTTCCCTCTTCCCCACTCCAGTCCCCCAACCACATTTTCTTCTATATCTTTATCTTTAACCATGAACACAGTCTTTGTACAATATCTATATTGGCTTCCCCACATTTTATCCATTCCATATAAGTCACCCATTTCTCTTTAATTTCTTCTGTTTTATCCTCTCAAACTATACATATTCAATTGGACTTGATCAAACAGGTAATTGTTCTCATTTTTTTCATCTCTCCACCCCCAGGCTATTACCGCCTTTATTATTTATTTATATATATCCCGCTTTTCCCCCCATCGGGAATTCAAAGCGGTTAACAACAAGGTATAAAACATACAGGTAACATTAAGACAAAAAGGAAATAGACATAGTCAATAATAACAATTAAAACATAATAAGACAATTAAATCATAATAAAGCACATTAAAGCTGGACCTTAGTGAAGGCTGAGCGAAGGAAGATAGATGCTTTTGAACTGTGGTGTTGGAGGAAAGTTCTGAGAGTGCCTTGGACTGCAAGAAGATCCAACCAGTCCATCCTCCAGGAAATAAAGCCCGACTGCTCATTGGAGGGAAGGATACTAGAGACAAAGTTGAAGTACTTTGGCCACATCATGAGGAGACAGCAAAGCCTAGAGAAGACAATTATGCTGGGGAAAGTGGAAGGCAAAAGGAAGAGGGGCCGACCAAGGGCAAGATGGATGGATGGCATCCTTGAAGTGACTGGACTGACCTTGAAGGAGCTGGGGGTGGTGACGGCCGACAGGGAGCTCTGGCGTGGGCTGGTCCATGAGGTCACGAAGAGTCGGAGACGACTGAATGAATGAACAACAACAACAAAGCACATTAAACCATTTATAAAACATAATAAATCCTTTCCTTCTAGGATAATTGCTGTGAATAAATCTTGGGTTTTTGTATTAATGTTATTATTCCCTAATATTCACATTAACATAAAGTCCATATTTACCGGCTTTAAATAGTTTCTCCATTTTCTTTACTATCTTTCTCCAGCAAATTACTATCTTTGGGCATTCCCACCACATGTGGGCATGCCAATCTTTATTTGCACAATAAGGCCAGCATGTTGAGCTTATTTCCCTTCCCATATTTGATTGTTGGGCTGGTGTCTTGTACCATTTCCAAATAAATTTTCTTTCTAACCTTTTAAGCTTCTCAATTTTGATTTTCTTAACTCCCTTCCTTATTTCCTCTATTGTTTGTTTGCTGCTTATTCTACAATTTGAACTTTAGCAAACTTACTTTTTGGACCCCAGCTCTCTGAACCAGCGAACTGTGAGTTTTCATCCAAAGAGGAACTTTTCCAACTTAAATAACACTGTGTAACATGATTTTTGTTCCTGGTTTATCAATGTCATTTCCTAATGGGTTCTATCATAAAAACATTGGAAAGGTTGATTAAACTACAAAAACTTTGTTCTTACGAGAGGGACACATAGCACATTTTGCTCTAGTTTTTCAACGAATCTCTCCTCAATGAGTAACCACCCATTCAATATTGTTTGTGCCACAAAAACAAAGTTTCTGGAGTAGAACAACCACCTTCAAAGTAAGGACCACACATTTAAACAGGAAACAACACTTTCAAACGAGGAACAGAAAAATGTTCAAATTTTGTTGCATAGTATAATTTATTTCTGGAGCCTGCTATTTGACATTTCACCTTGTGATCCAGCAATTTGGATGAGTGTACAGTGTTCCTTCATTTATCGTGGGTGTTATGTTCCTGGACCACCCGTGATAAGTGAAAGTCCATGAAGTAGGGATGCCCCCTCCCTCCCACTATCTCTCTCACTCACTCTTCACCTTCTTTACCTTCCTGCTCTTCCTTCTCGCTGCTTCTACTGCTCCAGAAGCGGCAGAGGAAGCACCTTGTCACCACCTGGGCCTCTTGCCTCTTTTCTTCCCACCTCACCCTCTTTACCTTCCTGCTCTGGGTGCTGCAGCTGCTGCTGCTCCAGAAGTGGAGGAGGAGGCACCTTGTCACCACCTGGGCCTCTTGCCACTACTTGGGCCCCAGAAGGGATTGAAGAGGCGGCGGAGGCAGCGCAGGGCCCAGGCGGTGACAAGGTGCCTCTCCCTCTCTCAGGGCCGTAGCCAGAAAATTTTTTTGGGAGGGGTTGAAATTTGGGGGGGGGTTGAAATTTTCTCGGGGGGGGGGTTGAAACCTGCCTCCTAGCTCACGCTGAAGCAAAGAGCACAGCAGGGGGCAGAGCAGCCTTCAATAGCCTGCAGCTCCACCCTTGTCAACCACCTCCACCAAGTCTGGCCTCCTTAATGAGAGCATTCAACACCCCCCCCCCCCACTTGGTTGCTTCACTACATCGGCTATTGCTGCAAGTAATGACAGTGTGAATAAATTGTCAATATTTGCCTGAGATAGTGCTTGCAGTTCTGGAGGGACTCTTAATTTTTTGCATCTCATAGACTTAGCATGGGGATTTGGTTAACCAGTTAAAATTCATGAGTAAACCAGGTTTTTTAAAAAAAAATCTGAAACATTTCGGGGGGGGGTTGAACCCCTAAAAAAAACCCCTCGCTATAGGCCTGCTCTCTCTCACTCACTCACACAATCGGCAGGAAGGGAGGAAGGGAAAGAAGGCAAGGAGGAGAAGGAGGGGAAAGAAGGCAAGGAGGCTGAGCCTACACCACCACTGCCGTTGCCAGATCTGTATCCAGAGCGCATTGGCAGGGCCTTCCTGCTCAGTGTTCCCTCGCCACTTGAAATTGTATATTTTAAATTCTTTTTTTTAAAAAAACGCGAAACTGGGAGTCTGTGGAGAGTCAACTGCGAAGTAGCGACAGAACACTGTATATACAAGTCCATGTATTTTTTAGGATCAAGAAGTCCATTGATGTTATATGTATTTTGATTCCTCCCTTCAGACAAAAAAATGACTAACCAGGAGATTTGCCCTGAAGAAGTTATTCTGAGAGTAGAAATAACCACTGATAGGATTCCTCTACCTGACTACTTTCAGCCAAGGCTGTGATTTTACAATGTCCTGCCTTGCTCATAGTTTAATGGATTGAAATATCATTGCCTTCTATTGCATTTGTCCATCACTACCTTTCCTCCTTTGTTGTTGGGTGCCCTCAAGTCATTTCCAATTTATAGAGGGCTCTGATGGAAGTTGCCATTCAATAATTTCTAGGAAGACTATTCATTCCCCATTCTTACATGAAGAATTGCCCTGCTAGATGGAGCAAACCCTGTCCATCTCAGAAAACCCATCTTGAAAACCTTGATTTGGGGAAAGGGGGAAATGTTTTACTTTCCCATAATTTATGGTCTTGGTTAGAGTTTGGTTTACCTAAGTTTTCTTTTCTTTATTATTATATGATTTGGTCAGCGGTTTATATTCTGATGGAATCTGACAGATATGCAACCCTTTAGATAATTGTTAGTCAACACTTTTTTCTGCATTTTTTATATAATTGGGTGCTCTAGTAGCATATCAAGGAGGGAAGTTAAATACTGAATATTGCCTGGTAAAGCCCCTTACACAAGCATGCAGGCTTGCTTGTTCATAGCAAAACGGTGCAGGAGAGGTGCAATCCGTGATGGGCACCTGCAAGATGCTTGAGATTTCAACCACTCACACAACATCCCTGGGCAAATTACAATGCCAACCTCTAGCAGAAGCAGCCTAGGACTCTCCAGGGTTCAAATTCCTGCTCAGTTACGGAAACCCACTTTAGGCAAGTCAGGCACTTTCAACCTGACTAGGAGGTGGTGGCAAACTTCCACTGCATGAAGAAAACCCTATTGAGTCACCTTCCTAGTCAACTTGAAGGCAAACAACGCAGGTTTGAATAATGATAATAAAGCCTGGGGCATTGGTCAACAGCTTTATTGCAGAAACAAGTTCACGTGCAACGATGATGTTATAACCACTACATTCTTGTTCTTGACTGAAGGAAAGAGGGATGGATTACACTTTGGAGGATGCCCAGTGCAAGGAGAAACTCCTGAAGACAGTCTATAGCCTTCAAGTTAAATCGGATGCCACTTTTCAAAAAGCCAGCCCTCTCCTGAGCAACCACCCTGGCCTGGGTATGGTGACCGAGGACCAAGTTCATCAGCTGGCAGAGAAAGCCAAGGTTATCTGCCACGACCTGGACAATATCAGGAATCATCTCCATTTCCGGCAGGATGAGTTGGTTCAGCGGATGCCAAACCCCAATGGCAACCATTACGGAGCCGTATGTGGAATTCACTGCTCCCTTGATGGGGTTCTCTATGTGACGAGTGAAAATGCCCCCAGGGTCCACACCCTCAACCGCCTGGGCCACACATTTCGGTCCCTGCCCTGTATAGAATGGAAAAAGAAGGGCACCTTTTTGCCTGAGGATGTGACCCTCACCAGGGCAGGGTTGGTGGCCGTGACAGACATGGTGAACGGAACCATCCGCATCTTCAACAATCACTCTAAGTTCTCCAAGGGCGAATGGCTAAGCATTGGAAAGTTTTCTGCCCCCAGGGGGATTGGAGTTGATGGGTCCGGAAAGATACTGGTGGCCGATTACACAGAAGGCCAAGTGCACTGTTTCGCCTTAGACCGCGCTTTCAAGATGCAGGGTGTCCGCTCCATCTCCAACCTTCAAGGGCCACGTTACGTGTGCCCGGCCCCCGAAGGAGGATTTGCGGTGAGCGAAGAGTGCGGGGACGTCAAGGTGTTCAGTAACACTAACAAACCGCTCTCTTCCATCAGCAGCAAGTATCACCACCACTTTGGCAACCCCGCTGGGATCTGTTCCGATAGTGAAGGCAACATTCTTGTGGCGGATGAACAACACCAGAAAGTGTACTTGTTTCCCAGTAGCGGATCCCCAATCTGCCTGGTATCAAAAGGTCTACAGAGGCCAGCAGGAATTGCTTGTTCCACACAGGGTTTGCTTTTTGTTGCTGACAGTGGGGATAATTCCATCAAAGTCTTCAAATACCGCGTACGGCCCTATTACAGTGCTGACGTTACACCCAGTGACAGTCCGAATGTAACTCCTAGAAGGAGGGCAAAGTAGGATTTTTCCATGCTCCCACATTACATTTATGACTCTGCCTCACGAGCTGAATAGGTACATCTACACTGCATAATCAATGCAGTTTGACACTTTAATTATGGAATCACAGGAGTTGTGGTTTATAAGGTCTCACAAGATCTTTAGCCTTCTCTGCCAAAGAATGTTGGTGCCTCACCAAACTACAGACCCCAGAATCTTATAGCATTGAGACCTGCCACTTCATCAAATTCATTAAATGCTACAGAGCCACCCACTTAAGAAAAGGCAACCTACTGTGCTCATCACATGATGTAGGCTCTAGCAAGTGTAGGGTAGAGAGATCTTAGTGTTTAAAAGGGGTTGCAAAGGGTTATCTTTTCAGACGCTTTCTAAGCTGTTTGGCAAATGACTTTTTTGCAAATTATCCAGCTAGAGGTGGGCAAAATGGCCAATTCTGTCATGTGATTTAAAATGATACAGTTGAGCAATTTGTGGGATGAGCCGAAATGCTCTTTTGAGAAAAAACTCTACGATTACCTTTTGCTCACGGAGGAGGAAAGATTAGCAGTTTGCTGTGTTCCTTTCTGTCTCTTGCACTTTCTGGTGGCTTGCCTGCTTGCTTGCTTGCTTGCCTTCCTTCCATGTGTTGTGTGTGCCATGTGTTACCTCCTCCTCCCCTTCCTTCCTTCCTTCCTTCCTTTCTTCTTTTCTTCTATGTATTGTGTATGCCATGTGTTACCTCCTCTTCCTCTCCTTCTTGCCCTGCTTTTTTCCTTCTTCCAATATGAGGAAAGTGTGTGTGTGTGAGTGAGTGAGTGAGAGAGAGAGTGAGAGAGAGAGAGTGAAAGAAACTGAAAGAAACTGAGAGAAAGAGAGAGAGAAGGATCATTGAGAAACTAGAGCAAAATGTGCCAAAGCAGGATACTGTCCCTCCTGCAAAGACAAAAATTTTGCAATTTAATAAACTTTTCCCATGTGTTCATGATATAACCAATTAGGAAATGACATTGATAACCCATGAACCAAAAATATAGCCCAGGAGAGGAGGTATTTCTTTTCACAAAAAAAATGGGAGCGGGACAGTGGACAGGAACAATACCCTGCAATGTGATGGCAAATCCACTGAGAACTCCTGATTAAAATGGAGAGTTTGCTAGTGTGTGATGGAGGTAGGGAAATCATCCATTTAATTTCAAAACAGAGTATGCCTGAGCCGTATGGTAAACCTACTCTTCCAAACACTTGACATGTTCAGTGGAATGAAGTCTATGGTCATTAAAGTTGTGTTAAACTGCATTAATTGTATAGTGTAGATGCAGCTGGTATGTGCACTTCTCCAATTATGCATCAAACTGCTCTGGAGATGAAACTGATCTTACAACAGCACGTTAATTTTTTTGTGCCATGATTCCTTTTAAGTAAACAGAAAAGACGCAACAGGATACAGTAACGGCATGGAAAGAAACATTCAAAATGACACCAAAAAAAAGGGAGAGTCCTTAGGCCAGAAACAGCACTGGATAAACCATTTAGCCTGCTTGAGTCCAAATATATGGAGCAAAGAAGGCCGGCTCCTGAACGTTTCCTTATTTTACAACAGTTTGTGTTATGTTTTGCTCTTTGTCGTAGAAAACGATGATTTGTGTGTTTCTCCATCTCATCAGGCATGTTTGTCTTAACTGCGTATCCATTATCCAAAAAGCTTGGGACCAAACATTTTTTGGATCTTGGATTATTTTTCTCTCTCCAGATTTTGGAATACTTGTATCTGCATACAACAGTCAGTCTTTAAGCATGATTTTTAAATGTGTGTGCTTTGTTAATCTCTATTTTGTGTATTTTGATATCTATTTTATAGAAATACTTTTTGATATGTAGCTTTTATAGGAATACGTTTTAATATGTGCATCTGTAGTGTTTTTGCAATGTTTATGTGTTTTAATTATTCTGTAACCCACCTCGAGCCTTGAAAAGGGGCGGGTAAAAAATAAAATAATAATTATTATTATCATTATTAAATGCACGCATAACAAGATACCTTGGAGATGGGCTTCATATATGTTTCATATTCACGTTATACACATAGCCTGAGATGATTTTATACACAATATTTTTTACTAACTTTGTGCAGTAAACAAAAGGTTGGTCCATTAGAAAGCAAGGTTGCCACCATCTCAGCTGTCTATCTGAACAATTTTGGATTTCCAAAGAAGGGATGCACAAGCTGTAATTCTAAATCATGTCTTCGGGGGGGGGGGGGGGGGGTTAGAATGTAGAAGTTTATATATGTAATACGGTTCATTTCTTTTGCATGCCCCTCGCCTCTGGAACTCCCTCCTGAAGGAGATCAGAACAGTGCCACTCAGGCATATGGTGATGCGAATGTTAAAAGATCTGGCACTATGAAATAAGGAATGGAATTTAGACATGGCTTTTAACTTTGTCTTATTAACATCCTGTAATTTACTATTATTGTTTTCATGTGATCTATTTTATTGTCGAATGCGACATTTCGTTTATTTTAAATTGTTTTCGCCTATTGTTGTATTTTACGGCATTGAACGTTTGTCTTTTATGTTGTGAACTGCCCTGAGTCCCCATGGGGAGATAGGGCGGGAAAGAAATAAAGTTTTACTTACTTACTTACTATAGAATGCAGTTTCATAACTTTGTTTAACTGCATTGTACGGAGCTATATGGTTACAAATAAGATTAGAAGGAAGGAAGGCATGGTTGCCATCTACAGCACTATCAATGTCCAGCAAAACTGTGCGAAAGCAAAGGTGAAGATTGCTTCGTACCGCCAGAGGCTTATCACACAAAAGCAGGCATTATATTGGAAGGGAAATGTGTGTCCCACCTATGTCTGCTGTAAAAAGATTTGAATTTTGCATATATCCCTCCCTAGTTTTGCTGGAAGAATACTCTTGTAACTGTCAAAAACAGCAGACCATTTCTCTGCTATTTGAAGGATTGCTCTCTTACATTTGCTGTTCTGGAATATTTAGGCTTTGTCAGGTTAGTATGCAAGAAAAGAAGAAATAATCTCTTGATACTCTACTATCTATCTATTTAGTTCTAGTCGAAATTGCTTGAATTTTGCTATTAAATGACAGAGAGAGATTGTGGTTTTTAACATTGCACATGTTTTAATGCTTTTTAACTGTGAATTCTTTCACAGTTAAATCCTGCTTTAATGTTTGCATATATTTGTGTAATTAAAATCATATGCTAATGATTTAATTTTAAGTCTCCTTTGGGAAGAGATAAAGCAGAGTATAAATAAATATCATACAGTAATAATAATATTTTAATGTCTATGCTGATGCTTTTATGTCAAGCAGCTTTGAGTCTCCTTTGGGAGAGATAAAGCGGGGTATAAATATAATAATAATAATAATAATAATAATAATAATAATAATAATACATAATAATACATAATATTACTAAATTGAATGCTAATGCTTTTATGTCAAGCCATTTTGAGTCTCTTTTGGGAGAGATAAAGCGGGGTATAAATAAATATAATAATAATAATAATAATAATACATAATATTATTAAATTGAATGCTAATGCTTTTATGTCAAGCCATTTTGAGTCTCCTTTGGGAGAGATAAAGCGGGGTATAAATAAATATAATAATAATAATAATAATAATAATAATAAATTGAATGCTAATGCTTTTATGTCAAGCCGCTTTGAGTCTCCTTCGGGATATTTATCTATTTATTTATCATGTCAGAAACAAATTGAGAATACAGCTATAATGTATTGGGGAAAAAACCCCAAAACTCCTCAAACATCGTTAAAAACTTGGCATTATGGTGGATGCAACCCAAGGCGCTGCTTTCCTAATAGCAGGGCTCTCCTACCTGACTTCCTGACTTCCCTCCAACCTCTGGGCGCCTTTCTGTGGGCCAGGTTGAGGAGGAACTCCATTGGCCGGAACCTTTCCTTTGGGAGAGAGGGAGCCGCCCGGATGATAATCCGAGCCGGACCGCGTCTCCTAGCAACCGCCCCCCTCGCCGCCGGAAGTGGCTCCAATGTCAAGCGGCGCGCGGACTTTGCTGCCTCCTGGTGAAAGTAAGTCATGCTTTGAACCGGCCCCTTCCACACTGCCGTATGACCCGGAATATCCAGGCAGATCATCCACATGATCTGTTTTAAGGTACCTTAGACCAGGCATGGGCCAACTTGGGTCCTCCCTCCAGGTGTTGGGGACTACAACTCCCACAATTCCTAACAGCCGGTAGACTCAGGGCCCTTCCACACTGCTGTATAACCCGGAATATCAAGGCAGAAAACCACAATATCTGCTTTGAACTGGGTTATCTGAGGCCCCTTCCACACAGCGGTATAAAATCCCACAGTGGGCCCCTCCACACAGCCCTATATCCCAGAATATCAAGACAGAAAACCCCACAATATCTGCTTTGAACTGCGCTATTTGAGTCCACACTCAGCTAATGTGGGATTTTCTGCCTTGATATTCTGGAATATAGAGCTGTGTGGAAGGGCCCAGTATCTGCTTTGAACTGGGTTATATGGCAGTGTGGACTCAGAGAACATAGTTCAAAGCAGATATTATGGAATTATCTATCTTGATATTCTAGTTTATATGGTGGTGTGGAAGGGCCCTGAGTCCATTTCAGTGTGGACTTTATGCAGCTGTGTGGAAGTGACTACAGATAATAATCCAGTTCAAAAGTGATCACGTGGATTATTTGCTCTGCTAATCTGGATCATATAGCAGTGTAGAAGGGCTGTATGTCAGTTGAGGTCCCGGCAGCTAGGATTGGATTTTCAACCCAAGACACTTCCACACTGCCATAGAACCCAGAATATCCAGGCAGATCATCCACAATAACTGCTTTGGACTGGATTATCCGAGTCCACACTGCCAAATATCCCAGTTCAAAGCAGATAATGTGGGATTTTATACAGCTGTGTGGAAGGGGCCTCAGGACCCTTCCAGTTAGGCCCTATATCCCAGGATCCGATCCCAGGTTTTCTCTTTATCCCAGATTATCTGGCAGTGCAGACTCAGGGCCCTTCCACACTACTATATAACCCAGAATATCAAGGCAGATCATCCACATTCTCTGCTTTATACTGGGTTATCTGAATGCCCTTCCACACAACCATATAACTCAATATTAAGGCAGCAAATCCCACAATGTCTGCTTTGTACTGGGTTATCTGAGTCCACACTACCATATATTCCAGTTCAAAGCAGAAAATGGGGGATTTTATTCAGATGTGTGGAAGGGCCTTCAGCCCCCTTCTACACTGCCATATAATCCAGTTCAAAGCAGATCATCTAGGTTTTATATGACAGTGTAGAAGGGTCCTAAGAAACTACCTGACAGCTTTACAAATAGAGTATAAAACAGGCCTGGGCCAACTTCAGCTCTCCAAAGGCCATCCAGTCTGACCATCATTCAGGTCAGACTGCCCTGTCTTCCTCCTCATCCACGGAGAGGGGAATGCAGTGCAATTTAGATGTCAGAGTATGCGGCTGGCTCTTTCCGTTCCGCAGCCACATGACTCACGCAATCGCATTCTGCAAGGGATCAGGATCGCGGAGAAACATGTCCTGGCTGTGACGCACACACACGCTCCATTTATTCATTCTAAAGGTCTCTCCCACAGAGGCTAGGTCATTGTGACACATCCGTGATTAGCAATGGTCCCTAAGGATGAGCATTGAGCCAAGGATTCTTGCCCTCCACGTTACTGCTTTTTAACTTTTATGGATTCGATTCCGGGCAGTTCCCGAGCTACAAGTACCCGATTTACAAACGGCTCCTAGTTAAGAACAGGGCTGGACTGGATGGCCTCTGGGGGGTCCCTTCCAAATATTTATCTCAGATATATAGATATAGGCTGTTCCCAAGTTACAAACACCCGATTACAAATGGCTCCTGCTTAAGAATGGGGCAAAACCACAGGAAATGAAAAAAATCTTCCCCTTCAAAAGGAAAGGAAATCCTCTCCTGGAAGAGTTGTTATCAGGGGGAAAGGGGATCTGGTCTCTAATTTTCTCCGGTCCTTTTTTCCACAACCAGCCAAATTCTTCACAATCCAGTTTTCCCAGGGATGGAAAATGAGGTGAAATCTTCTGAGCAGTGGCACAGACAGCAAAGGAAACACCATAGGAGTGTTAACCCTTCCCTATGCTATCTATATATTTATCTGGAATTATACTTTAAAAATGTCCTTGTTCAAACTTACATACAAATTCAACGTAAGAACAAACCTACAGAACCTGTGTTGTCTGTAACTTGTGGACTGCCTGTATATGGAGGTGCCCACTTGAACAAAAAAATGCAGAAACCTGCTTTTACTACTTTTCCATGAGACTGTGTTTCAAAAACAACAAAGATTTGTGCACATTAAAGACTGGTTATTTTTGTAAGGACATATGCATGTATGCACTGATTATGTGGGCTGTAGACATGAACATTTATGTTGGTGTGCTTTGTAGCTGAGGGAATGTTGGAACTTGGTTCTTTCCAGGCAGACATGCCATTTGGATTTGTCTTGGGTTCTGCTTTGAGAAACAAGGCACCGCAATTTTTCCAGTAACTAAATGATTGCTTTGCATGTGTTTCCTATAACTAGATGTTCAGAGGGTTTTTAAAAACTTTTCTGCTATAAAGCAAGCTAGAAAAGCCTTTCCTCTGTATCTGGTCAGTATCCCTTCCCTCAGGAACAAATTTTAGGCATAGTTAATTGGCTAAAAATTGTCCAGTCGCATCCCATCAGTGCAAATTGAAAAATAGTTTAATCCAGTGTTGAAAAGGATGGTCATTTTGGGGCCAGATAGGTGGCCCTGGGGAGAACATTTCGTAATTGTGTGAGAAGGGCACAATGAAAAATCCTCCTTTAGAAAGCTTTGTGGTGTGGCTTGTCCTACTTTTGACAGGAAAAAACCAGAGGCAATGACATGTAATGAGTAAATGTGACTAGGTTTCCACTTCTTTTCTTGTTTCTTCATGGTAATGTTAAAAAAGATTTACTGATGTCTCCTCAATTGCCTGGCTTGTTGTTTTTTTTTCACCATCTGCCTTCAAGTCATTTCTGATTTACAGTGACCCTAAGGCAAACCTGGGGTTTATTCAGAGGAGTGTTGACATTGTCTTTCTCTCAGACTGAGGGAGTGTGAGAGCCTAAGGTCATTGGGGATTTTCATGGCCAAACAAGGATTTATACCTAGTCTGACTCTCAAACCACTTCCATGCTGTTTACAAGAGAACACTATTACATATGATATGCCATCTATGATCAGCATTTCTAAACCGACCCGAACAGATGTGAGAGCAGGTAGAAATTTTGCTGTTGGGTGTGAAGACTCAACCAAAGCAAAAATCTTAAAATAGCCAGTTGACTATATTATTGAGAGATTTGTCTACTATTTGAAATATTTTCTGGAAAGTAGTCAGCTTTCGTAGTTTGGATACTGCTGCTAGAACTTGGACCTGGCAAAATGCTGGTGCTGGTGCTTCCTACTAGAGCAGGGATGGGGAATATTGTTGTACATCAGATGCCGCTATTCTTCACCATTTCCTGTGCTGGCAATAGCTGATTAATCACAACATCAGGAGGACCATGTGTTCTCCAACTCTCTTTCAGGAGCACGATTCTGGGAGCCTTCAGTGGGAGCCAGATCTGGTCTTAAAGCTAAAATGCCATGTATTTGTTGTTGTGACAGCGAATAGAACCACATCAACTGTGAGCTAGGCGTGACCAATGAACAGTTCTTGTCCCACCAACCTTTATTTAAGTTAGAATAGAGTTTTTCAACACTTGACATTGTGGGCACTTACTTTGGATATTGCAAGTAATATGCGAGTGTTTATTTCAGCTTTAAAAATCTACTCAAATGATGGTAGTTTGTGTATTATGCTTTGCTTTTTAAAAAAATTGTCTTGAGTTTTTCTTTTGGAAATAAGGGTGAGATAATGTGAAAAAAATACAAAAGCAGATTAGGATATGTAATATATATTCAGTCTGCAATTTTTATATTTGGTATCAGACTAAGGCACCACTTACACTGCAATTATCGTGCAGGCTGAACTCGATTATATGGCAGTGTAGACTCATATAATCCAGTTCAGTTTGTATTATATGAGTCCACGCTGACCTGATTAAAATTCTGCAGTTTAATGAAGGCCAACTGCACTCCTTCTTAGAATGAGAATACCTAAAAATGTTAGTATATGCTCTGTAAACCTCAAGGCTCAACCATTGCAATGTGTTGTCCATTGGGCAAACTCTGTACTAAGTCTGGAGACTCCAGCTAGTTCCAAACATAGAAGCTAGATTCGTTACAGGGACATTTTTTAAACTTTTTGTCCTGTTCCTGTATGTTTTTTCTTAGTCCTCCATCATTTCACTCTGGGCTTGGCACTTCATATATCAAGCTCAATGGCTAGTGATTTAATTATCAGCTTTTGCACAAGTACAACTGGCAAATCACGTGCAAAATCTCTAATCAATTATTTTCTCCATAAACCAAAACAGGGGTATTTGTAGGACTGAATTGCAGGGCGAAAGCAGCCTTTATTTTCCACCCTCAACAGATGCATTGTGTTTTAATTCCTCCTTCCCCATCAAGGAGAAACTAGCCTGTCTGAAAGGAAAAAAGGCAGAAGGAAAAACAGTGGTGGCAGAGAACTGCTGGGAGAGGATTAAAACATTCAGTTCCTTTCCCCAACCCCATTCTCTGGTTCATGCCCTTTTTTCCCAGGCATTTGTGTTACATTCTGGAATGTACACACTAAGCATGTGCAAAATGGCACATAATTCTGTTTTTGTTCTGTTTTCAGGTGCCCCCCTCCCCTGTTCTGTTTTCAGGAAGATTCTTCCCAAAACGGAAACTGAACTCAGGGTTCTGAATTACGAATCCGAGTGGTGCCCCTCCTAATCTCCTGGAAACTTTTCAAAAACAGAACAAGGGGGACCTAAAATTCAAAATGAAAACAGAACAAAAACTGAACAGATTTTCACACCCCTAATTAGTACACACACTTTCATATAATTTCAGGAGGAGGGGAGGGAGCCTTTGGAATCTCAAGCTTGTCCTTTCAGCCAAGGAGTGAGGACTTGGGCATCTTTCAGATTTGTAGTGAATGATGCTCTTCAACACTGCTGCAGGGGAAAGATCACGCTGCGAGGCTTGTTGGTCTCATCCCTCTGGAGCCTGGAGCCAGCTCCACTCTGCTCCCTAGTCCCGCTCCCAAGTTCTTCCCACCTGTCCATGTGTCATTTTGAATAAGAATGGTTTTTTCAGGACTTACAATGTGAAAGAGCTAGTGAGATGAATTAGCCTTTGGTACCAGTAACTCTGGTCTTTCTCTCATTACAAGTAAGAGGACATGTACCAAACAGACACCACTTTTCTGCCTCAAGGGACTGGGAATTCATCCATGAACAGGCATCGCTTCCTCCAGCAGCAGTTGACAGTCCCTGACTAAATCAGCCTGGGTGCCAAGGCATCCTAAATGCAAATGAATTGCATCTTTTCTTGAGCTAAATGCCAGAATCATGTATACTTTCATGGTGTGCTTTCTCTTAGGGAAATAGGTTTCGGCAGAGACTGTATATCCCCTTTTTCTATGTATGCCATAAAGAGAGAGTACAAGTTGGTTTTTTCCCAATCGCTGGGCCTGTCACAGATGATACGGCCTGAGGGGAACTTGTTGTTTTTCACGTGGCTTCCCTGGTGCAGCGCTGAAGGACAGAACAAGGACAGTGATTGCTGGGTGTTGTTAACTCCAGGCCTGCCCCCTCCTTACAGAAATGATGTTTCTGTTTGATACTTCTGAGTTATTTAAAAAGACAGCGTCACTTACTTCCTGGGTCAACATTCTATTTCTCTTTATGAAAACTGAAGTTTTGGTGTCACCTTGGATTTCAGGGTAAAATCATATATGTGTGTGTGCATGTGCGTGTGTGTGCATATGTGTTTAGCTAATGTATTTGCTCTGCCACCTTTTTTCTGTCTTTGCTCTTGCTTTTTTACTTAATATAGAAACTTAAAAGGTGAATAGTTTCCTGGCATAAAGACATGTTGCAGGAAAAACCTTTAAAACCCATTGGCAAAGAACAACTATCACCTCCTAAGGCAATATATTTTGTTTTCACCTAGCTTTTACCATTAGGAAGTTTGACCCAACTGAAATCTATTACTCTGTGATTTTTTTTACACATTTACTTCTAGCCCTTCCCTTTAGAACAGTGGTTTTCAACCTGTGGGTCCCCAGGTGTTTTGGCCTGCAACTCCCAGAAATCCCAGCCAGTTCACCAGCTGTTAGGATTTCTGGGAGTTGAAGATCAAAACGTCTGGGGACCCACAGGTTGAGAACCACTGCTTTAGAATAACAGAGAAGAAAGGGGCAATTCCCCTCTAGAGGAATTGATTGGGGAGCTAGGGTTGAATTTTCAACATCTGGATTTTCTTCATTTGTGCCTTTGTGCTTCAACCAATAAGTATCGTAATGCAATTTTTGTATTTGTTTTATCTCTAGGTTTTATAGTTTTCAAACTTCTATGTCATGGTGCTTAAGATCTTCTTCCCTTTCTGCTGCTCCTCAGCTGAAAGTGGCCTCCTGGTCGGGCGATGGATTCCGGAACAGAATTCTGCAGTCATCTTGGCTGTGATCCACTTCCCTTTCATTCCTGGTCAAGTGAAGCAGTATCTCTCCGAATTGCAGCATATGACACAGGTCAAGATGACTGTGTTGGGTTCCTGGACGAACAGTAAGCAAGCCAAAGAAGAGAGTTTGGAAAGGTTCCTGGAAGACCTTGGTGCAATCTTCTCTCATGATCCTTGGGTTCAGCTCAGCAAGGAGAAGGACAGCAAGTTTTGGCGCTGTGTGGCCACTCAGAAACTGTCTGACAGCAATGAAGAAGATGAAATTGTCTTGATTTATTATGACCAGCGTAAAGTGATGCTTTCACAACTTCACCCCCCTCAGAGGCCAATCGCTTCGAATGATCAGAAGACAGTAGATTCTTCCAGACTAGCTGTTGTGTTTGACACAGTGGCAAAGAGCAAGTTACTATTCATGAGAGATCAGTACGATGAGGGGCCCATCAAGCTTACCCACTGGCAGTCAGAAGGTGTAGAAGCTAGTATTATTGTGGAACTGTTAAAACAGGCCTCTGTACCTACATGTATGCTGATAACATTCCTCCTTTCACTTGTCTCTGGAATTTGTAAAAGCAGGTATGTCATGTAGTACGGGGTCAGCTTCATGTGATGAATAAGAGGCAAACTCAAATGCAGATCAGAATCAGTACAACTGGCTATTTCTACATGTGTAAAACAATTAATTGTGTTAGTATCATTACAAAATTGTGATATTTTGATGTGCAAAAATTAGTTTCTTGAATGATGTGGTTCAGCAGAGTGGTTTTCAAGCTTTCTACTTTCCAGAAAGTGTTTCCTCATCAAGGACATGCCATGACGTTCCTGGCACTGGAGAGGAATCTGTCAAATATTTTAAAGAAGAGCTAAGGAAATGTGGGTTTCCTTGAACTAAGGAAGCAATAGTTATTGGAACATGGTGCTTGAACACAGGAAAGGGTCATTATTCATTACATTGCTTTACACTGGATAAGAATGAAAAAAAATGATGGCTTAAATAATGTAATGACTTCTAATGATGCTGAGAGCTACAGATGGTTTGATTGTGTAACTACGTTCTTTAACTGTGTAGGCTCTTCCATGATAAATGTAAAAAATCATATTCAGTTTGCATGATGTGATTGCCATTCCTGATAAGTGTGGGCAAAGCTCTGCCTAGGGACATGCCTGGTGCAACTTTGTGCAATAGAGCTATTGTCACAGCCAGCCCTAAAAACCATCATTATTCTATTAATGATAATGTTGATACTGGATATGATATGCTAGAAACTGTATGTGAGACCTTGAAGCATATTTTGGGAGTTTTTGTGTCTAACCATGTGATGCTCTTAGCCAAGATATACTTAATTCTGCTTCTGTAAGAGTTTATAATCTCCCTGCCCTGCTAAAATTCTCTTGGAGAACTGGGATGTCCTCCTAACAATGTTTTGATGCTATTGAAGCCTTCCCCATGACAGAGAAGTGGAGAAAAGTCAGTTTCGTGTGTTCAGCAGCAAAATAAACATTAGTTCACATAGTCTGCCATTGAGTCCTCCCAGGGGTGAGAAGAATGGTATATAAATATAGTAAATAATAATAATAATAATAATGGGGCTCTGTACTTTGTATCAGCATTTGCTAGAGACACATATCCCCAGTACACAGTTGTTCAATTACAATATATTATAATGTTTCCTGCAGTAAATAAGGCCCATTTTTAATAAGAGGATGGATTTTATCATCATATATTCACCTGTTATTCCTGATGGGACTAGGACTGGCCTTTCTTAAGAATCTGGCTGTTTACAGTTTCTGTGGCTATACTTGACATTGTTATCCTTAGCATTCTGTGGGTATACTTGGTGTTAAAGGGTTGTATCATTCCTCCAGAGTCGCAGAATTCAAAACTTAATTTGGCAACTGGATTCCCTCTGTGATGGGTTGGGAATGCTAGCATTTACAGTTCAAAGCTCTGTGCAGCAGTGCAGCCGTGTGGTGACCCTTACACTCAGCCCTGTTGAAATGCCACTGATGTGGAGTTCTCTCGGTGCTGGGAAAGTGACAAAAGCCTTGCTCCCAAGTGTAATTTTGAAAAGATGTGAAGCTTAAAAGCCTGTGCTTGTAAAAGCTTGTGCACTAGAGCCGGAGCAGGCCATCAGCTGAGATTATGCCGCACTGTCAGAATGTGAGGATTGGAAGTTTTGTCTCCAAGCTGGCAAAGAGCAGCTTGATTAATTCCAATTGGATGCCGGTTGCTAAAAGCATTTGTGACCAAACCGCAGCAAGTGTAGCCTCAGGCTAAGGGAAAGAGAGTCCATCAACAGGTTTCGAGTGAGCTACATTTGTCATGGAAGATTATTCTTAGCTTATTCATACTTTTTGTTGGATGTGTAACAGTTTTAGCTTTCATCATGTTGTTTAAATGCCTGTGAGGGAATGGAGGTGTTATGTCAAACTGCATCCTTTGCAGGCAGATGGATCTCCAGCAACAATTTACAACATACCTAATTCAAAACAGTTTGTAGAAGCACAGTGGAGCATTAACTAGGAACTAGATTGGTGGGCTGTTGAGAGTGAAATAGCTGAACAGTCTCAAACTCATTGTGTATCTTTGACAGAACTGTTGGGAGGTAAGGAACCCCTTTCTTTCTCTACTTGGGTTCCTGGGGAGTTTTTACCAACCAGAGCAGACAATAATAAAGAGATGGAAGGTCAAACAGCTTGGTTCATAGAAGGTCAATTTCTATATTCCAAAAGAGTACTGGAAGATTTCAGTGGAAAGAAAAAAAATTAAATTCTGCTTGTGAAATTAAAGGACTAAAGATTGGAACTGACTGCGCTTTAGAAAGGTAAATATCTGTGGCAGGTTTTTCATACAGCAGCATAAGATATAAATAGTGACATGAATATAGGGAAGTTTCTTACATTTTCATATACTACATTATTGGAAGAGTCAGCTTCTTTCGCCTACTGACTGCTCTGGACCACCATCTTGTGGCTGGTATTGGTAATGTAATATATGTGGGGGTTTTAAAAAAAAATGTTAAGTTTTGCAATAATTTTGCACCAGAGCAAGTAATCAACTCTGAACGTATAGAGAGATGTTTTCAGGAAGACATGCTTCAAAACAAACTGTTCCACAGAAATGGCATTAAGACTATTCAAGATTACAACCAAACAAAAACCTTGGATTTATTAATCAAGTATTGATACATTGATTCCTTTTCCTGCAGCAAGAAAGTATTGATTTCTTACAGTTTGCTATGTGAAAACTACTACAAATGAAAATGTTATTTAAAGAAACAATGTCTTTTAATTAGGGATGCTACTACTATATCAAAAGGGCTTGGAAAGATTGATTGAAGCAACTAATCTATTAAAAGTAGCACCTCTAGCTGTTGGATTAAAAAATTATACACAGCTAAATTCTGCCTTCATGGCATCTAGGCATGCGCCTTGGTTCTTTGGGGTTCTCTTATCATAAAACAAGATCTTGCTGGTTGTAATAGGTGGGAAAGAAAACAAAAGACACAATAATTCTAGATCTAAGTGTCTAACAATTTAAGTGTGCAGTTAGTCCAGGGTGATTTTCTCTGCCCACCCACCAATTGAGCCTTTTAGTGCATCCGCAAGTGGCACTTTTTCCCCTCTGTCACTTCAGATGTTGTTCATAGACAGGCCAAGTGATCAGCATTGTGCTCATGTTACTCTAAGTTGGCAATAGGTTGCAGCAAAGTGTGAAATATTTCTGGAGATGCAAAATAATGATTCATGCTGTTCTACTATTAGCTGTTACGCATTTCTTGGTTATTCTCAGGTGGAACAAACTATGATGGGCTTGAAGGATTCTACACAGATGAGGTGGGACATCTGTGTGAGAATTCTCAGTAAACCTTCTGTGAAATGTAACTGAAAAGGTGGTAAGGGTTGCCCACCAATAATTCTTGTTGCCTGAAGGCAGAAGTATTAAATGTGTCGCTCTCCAATTGTTTGGGACTCCCAGTAGTTTTTGCCATCTGTCCAGTGGCCAGGAATTCTGGGAACTGAAGTGCAAAACATCTGGAGGACACCACTGCCTTAGAATGATACACTTCTGTTTTGAGGTAGTAGCAATTAAGATGTGTGACTGCCGGTGGAATCCTCCATTGTTTACTCATGGCAGATCCTTTTGCTTGTAATAAATGCTATTTAGAATGTCTAGATTTTCTCCTCAAAACTATTTGGGTTCTAGTGGGGGTGAAAATTGGATGAGGAATACTATTAACCAAGGGGAAATGGTGTGTCCTCCAGAAGAAACACATCATACAGTTCTTGCCTTTGACTAATGTTGCAGTTGTAGTTTTGGATTGCAAGAGTGGCTTGAGTTTTGAGGAAAAAACAGGAATCGTATGTCTGCTTTCATTTGTGTGCATCTTTGCACTTTACCTAGAGCCTTGACGATCTGGCCGCTCTCTTTTCTCTGGAGCAAACTTTCAACATGCGAGCAATTGGGGCACCGGCTGCAGCACCTCCAAGTCATCAGCAGTAGCAGAAAAGCTCCAAATCAGACCCAGCTGATGAGGTGGGACATCTGTGTGAGAATATGTTTTTGTTGCTGTATGTGCGTGGTTCTTTATTTATGTCAACAGTGTTAGGTACACCTTGAAATTCAAATAAATATGTATGTCTATTTGTCATATTGGCCAGTGTCTAATTGCAGATGACTATGGCATTTAGCATTTCCTATTGGGTTATTTGTGCAAATACCATGACCTGTTTCACTTTTGACTATGTTCTCCTTGTATAGGCTGATTAGTAAAAGGCCAGCAAGTAAATACAATTGGCCATCAAAGAAAATTTGGAAAATACCAGTAGATTTTGATGAACTGTAGCACAGAAGTATTGTCATGTTTATGTTGTGTTTTTCAGAAGTACAGTAGTGTAGGATGAAGAACGATTTACATGTTGTCCAAAATGCAGTGGCATATTGTGTGTTTTTCTATGAGAGAGAGAACGTGCTGTGTTCCATGGTGTTTATGTTCTGTGCTGCTGTACCTCAAAAGCTCATATTGTGTTTTTCCCCCCGTATTGCCACCCACACAACTTTAATTTTTTTTTAAAAAGGAGAGGGTTGCCCAGGAAACAGTCCTGGCAACCCAACGTGGGGCAGCCATTTGACATATCTGTACTCTTCCTGCCTCTGCTCTCTCCTTTGCTGCAGTGACCTCAGGTGCCCTCGTGATTCAGGATCCCACCATGCCATTGTTTATCCTCTATATATATTTCTCTCTTTTTGCTTCTGGTTTGAGTAAATCTTTTTTTTTCAGTGCAGGGTTTTGAAACTTTTAAGCCATTGAGGGGGTGATGGAATGGTTGACCAAACACCCAAAAAGGGTTCTGAATGCAGGAACAGATTTTTAAGAAACCAAAGAGGGGGAAACTTTCCAGATCTCAACATACAATCCCACATAGAGATATCTATTATATAGTCAACTTTCTATGTTAGCTTCCCTTTCCTATCACTTAGAATAGGCTTCCATGACCAAATGTACTCTATATATTTTGGATGTAAACTCACCATTGGCCTTGCTAGCTAAAACTGACATCTACTGGAAAAGCTACTTTAGAAAAAGAAACCCTGTCTCCATTTTAATAACCTTCCTTTGGTAACTTATATATTTCTCTTCTGATTTCAGAAAAGCAAACATCTTTCTTTCTGTCCTCATTGATGTGGCTCTAGGGATACTGCTGATGTCATGGCTGTATCAGAAAAATCGTATTGGGCATCTTGCCAATGACCTTGTTCCAATGGCTGATGTAAGTTTTTGGCTTGAGCCTTATTTATATTTGAAATTGTAACTCATTCTCTTCCAACCTGTTGTCTTGCACATATGTTGGAGTTCTGTTCCATCACCCCCAGCCTACCTGAGGGTACAGAGGCCAAGATAAAGGGGCTCCTGCTTCATTAAAAGGCAGATCGTGGTGCTGTGTGGTGTTATGCTCCTGCTGAAGATGCTCAGAGTTTGGCTCTACTCCCTGATTCATTCCTAAATTTTGAGACCCAGGTTTCAGCAGGGACCAGAAGTGCCTTTACACAATTAAAGGCTGTGCCCATTCCTAGAGATGTCTAATTTGGCTATTATACTCCTTTTGTTTTACAGTGATGCGCTTTGCATGTGGCTGCCTTTGAAGACCGTTCAAAAACATCAGCAGCCAGATGGTTCATTGGGAATGACTACAGGGAGCATACAATTGCCTTATTGCAACTTATTCACAGGCTGCTAGGTTTTTTCATAGTTTTGAATATGACCTATAATACTTTAAATGGCTCAGGTCCAGTATATTGGAAGGGCTCTCTCTCATTTTTGAGCCTGCCCAGTCTCAAAAATCTTCGGTTTTTCAGGGTCTTCTTGATGGCTGCTCCCTGTCTTTGAAACTTCTTCCCTCTGACTAGAATGTCTCTCCCCACCCCCCACCCCCTTGCTTTCCTTTGACAAACAAGTGAAAACTATCCTATTCCAACAATGTTTTAGGAGTTGGCTGCAATGGGGTTTTCTTGTTGTGTTATTGTTGTTTTTAATAACCTGCATTTTAATGAGCATTTTAATTGTTTAAATTCTGTGTTTTACTAAAGTTGTTATTGTTTTTAATATGAAAGCTGCATTTAGTCACAGTAGTTGGGAAATTGTGAGATATAAATGAAATAATAATAATAACAACAACAACAACAAAAATAGAGGTTTTCTAGTAGGTCCTTATATAAACAAACTCCCTATAAATTTGTCAGGTTGGAGGGTTCAATGAAAACATCTATCCTTCCAAACAGCAAAGGAAGGACAATTGAATGGATGACAGAACTGGTTTACTATGTATACTATTAGAAGAAAGGGGCAATTGACTCTCAAGTTATTCCTTTCTTCTAACAGCAGAGAGTTACAGAACCATATGCCAGGCATGAGAACTGAGCCTGAAGTCTGGAAAAACCATCCATAATTTATTTATCAGAGTGCTTAGAAACATCATTGAGGAGTTCTGGGAGTCCCAAAAAAGTAACTTTTTCAAACACTAGTTTATCATTCCATCTAGGCTGGGAACTCTGCCTTATCTCTGCCCCGGAATCATAAACCATATTGCCCAGTCGAAGCTTGTCAAGAGAGAAGCAATTCCCATTGTGCTCTAGACCCCATGAAGACAGGAGCCAGATTTTCTGCAAAATGTACACTGTTGGACTATATTGAACCCTAGGAGCCAAAATCCAATACATCTGGATGGCATCAGTTCAAGGAAGTTGGGTCAGACCATATTTGGCCTATATCGCCCTCCCGAAAGATCTCAGACAGGCCCCTACTTTGGCAGTTTTCAGAAAGAATCTGAAAACCTGGCTGTTCCAACGTGCCTTTTCAGATTAGGAACCCCACTACCAAACCCCAGAAGCACTTTAGTAGAGCCAAGATCACTGCTCATCACACACTGCACTTGATTTTAATCCCATATCCCTCCGACACTTCAGCACTTTTTAATCCTGTACCCCTACTCCGGCTGGCTCAGTTTTTAATAATTGTCCTGTTGTATTGCTATTGTTTATTGTTTTCTGCTTTAACTGTTTTATTTGCTATGTACTGTATTGTTGTATTGTGTTGGGCTCCGGCCTGCTGTAAGCCGCATCGAATCCCTTGGGAGATGCTAGCGGGGTACAAATAAAGTTATTATAATAATAATAATAATAATAATAATAATAATAATAATATCTGTATATTCTTTCATTCCAGCAGACTAGTAAGCAAAGTTGTAGCTGCCAAGAGTTTTAAACAGAAAACAGCAGAAAATGAACTTTCCTCTAAGAAAGGCTCTCTCTTTTTTAGTCCAGTGAAAGAATCGATTGCTGTTGTATGGTTTGCGCATTGTAAATATTAAATGAGGTCTGTTTCTGAAGAATCTTGCACTTCCCTCTGTATAGCAAGGGAGGAAGTCCGCAGTGGTACAGAAAGGCCCTGGATCACAGCCAGGCCCCAGCTGGCAGCAAAATGCAAGAAGATGTTCAGGGGGAAGTACTCCATGGCTCAGTCTTGCAGGCTAAAAGCGATGTGGCAGAGAAACACATAGAAAGCTCCGTTCATAAATCTGAGGCATTACAGATTTCCAGCCAGATATTTCATCCGTTCATTTTTGAATCAGAACATGAAGTTCAGCCTGCTCAGGTTTCTTGGTCTTTATCCACCTTTTCTTCCTTGAGATTTTCTCAGTGATGCTGTATGTATCCAATCCTATTCTATTGTTGGCTTTCTACTGCCTGCCCCCTTCTGCTTCTACAGCAGCTAAAGCATTTGTCAACCTCAACACTCATTTCCAACTAAGGTTAGAGTAAGGATCATAACACTGGAAAGATTTATCCCCTCCTCATTTGCCCATTTGGTTGTTTCTCTTCTGTGTAGAGATGCATATCTCAATCTATAGTTCTCTGCATACCCACTTCTAGCTCATGAGTGGATTTTTTAGATGTACACAGCAAGAATGAGCAACCTATGGCTCCCTGTTTGGTGGCCCTGAGAAACCCACTCTATAAAGAACAGGAGGGGAATCTCACTCCTAGACCCTTCCAGGGGGAGTAATTCCCCTCCAGAGAGGAAGGCATTGCTTTGCTAAAAATAGATAGTTCTGTTTAAAAAACAAAAAGAGAAATGTTGAACGGGACTGTTGTCTGCAGCAGGACCTGGGAAGCAAAAATTGGCTCATGGACCACTGAGGTTTCTCATCCCGAGTTTATTTATTTATTTATTTGTCCTATTTATACCCCGTCTTTCTCTACCCCAAGAGGGACTCGAGGTGGCTTGCATATGGCAATTATTCGGTGCCTTAAACACATACAACATTAAGCTTAAAATCCTTTGAATTAAAATTAATACATATTAAAAATATAACTAAATTCACAAAATTATCTCAAGAAGGTTTTAACAGCAGCTATCATTGCCCTCTGGTGGCACAGTGGGTTAAACTGCTGAGCTGCTGAACTTGCTGGTCGAAAGGTTGGTGTTTCAGATCCAGGGAGCAGGGTGAGCTCCCGCTGTTAGCCCCAACTCCTGCCAACCTAGCAGTTCGAAAACTTGCACAGGTGAGTAGATCAATAGGTACTGCTTTGGCGGGAAGGTAACAGCGCTCCATGCAGTCATGCTTGCCACAGGACCTTGGAGATGTCTACGGACAACGCCAGCTGTTCGGCTTAGAAATGGAGATGAGCACCACTCCCCAGAGTCAGACATGACTAAACTTAATGTCAAGGGGAATCATTGCCCTCTTCCCAAGGCCAAATGCTACTGAATAGTTGCTGGTTTATCACCAACTTGAAATCCAGTTTATTTGAACGTTGTTTTTATTGTATAGCAGTAGACAATGTCCTCCACACATTATATGTATATATCCTTTCTTTCTTTCTCTCTCTCTTGCCCATGCACATTCGTGGAAGGGTAAAGCTTGCAAAAATTCAAACATGTTCACTATTTCCAGTGCAACTATGAAACTTTTTTTTCCTTTCACAGGGGAAAAACAGATAGAACTTTTCAGCTGTTCCCTGCATTTTGTGAGTGGTATTTGGCATACACAAGGGAACACTTTTCAATTGACTATCCTCTTCCTTTCCTCCTTTTGGGCAGCATGTTGCCCAGCAGTTGCAAAGCCTCCTCCAATGGCTAATGGGCGCACCGGCTGGCTTAAAAATGAACAGAGCTTTGGACCAAGTCCTGGGCCGATTCTTCCTCTATCACATTCACCTCTGGATTAGTAAGTGTGGCTGTTTTAACTGTGATTTTTTAAAAATCCTTTGTTTCTAGGAGAGAGGAAGCCAACCTGGCAGGCCCCAATTGTCAGGGTTACAACTTTCTTCATTAATTGGGCATGCTTGTTGGGAACTATAGATCAACACATCTGAAGGGAACCAGGTTGGAAAAGGCCTAGAGTTAGGTATTCTCTCTGCCATTGCTGTGAAAGATGGGAGTTGATGATCCAACATGTTTGGAGGGGACTGAAGAAAATTTATTTATTTATTTACAGTATTTATATTCCGCTCTTCTCACCCCGCAGGGGACTCAGGGCGGATTACAATGTACGCATATATGGCAAACATTAAATGCCAAGACACACAACAGATAGAGACAAACAGTCAGAGGCTATTTAACTTTTTCTGGCCACCAGGGGTGCTATCACTTTCATTGTCGCCTGAGGACTGAGAAAAGCGGTATATAAATGAAGTAAATAAATAAATAAATTGTCCATCTGCGACACTGATGAAGTACTTCTGCATTCCCTGCATGCTTTTTGTTGGAGTGCTTTGCTGGAGTCTTTTTTATGGCCTCGTAAATTTAGTTAAATTAGCCTCCCTACACATAGGTGGTACCTAATTTTCCTACTTGACAGATGCAACTGTCTTTCGGGTTGCAAAGGTCGACAACAAACTACACAATTGGTCGGAAGCTCACTCCGACCCAGGCTGGCTTCGAACTCATGACCTTGTGGTCAGAAGTGATCTTAATGCAGCTGACACTCAGACAGCTGCTCAATAAGAGAAGTGCCAACAGGACATAAGTGTGAGTGTCTACACCCTCTGACTGGACCACTAGTCTCCTTGCCTTAGCCTAGGGCCAGCCAAGTACCTGCCCAAACTACCAGCAAGACTATCCAAAAGAAACAACATTAGTTAGTCTTGCAAGATATTTCCACCACTTGCTTCTCTCCAACTCAGCCTGAGTTTTAGGAAGACACTGAGGATTTCTTTGAGTTTTAGGAGCAGCTGAGGACATGATCCCACAACCTCTGATCCCAGAAGATCTAAGCCAAAGAACAAAACAGATTTCACCAGCAATAACATATGTATGTGTGTCTGTGTGTGAGTGTGTGCATATATGCAAACCAAAATGAAATACAAGAAAAAATATTTTGAAAAGTATAGAGCACAGCAATAAGGGGAAAAAACATCACGGAAAGAGTAAGCAAACCAAATCAAGTAAGACCCCTGAATGCTCCAGACAAAGCAAAAGCCTCTAATCAGATACACCCAAAGTATGGGTTTTAGATCAGTTACATGGAAGGTCAACCACAGACACAGCTGTTATACCCATTTACGTAGATGATCCCAATCCACTAATCAGACTCTTGCAGAGTCCAGCATTCTAGCAGGTTTTGCCAACCCAGTTGAAACCAGTTCTTACTGAGTAAAACACCATGTTCTTACCAGCACCACTGAGGAGGAAATAGGTAACAAAGCTTTTAATAATGATACAGTTGTGTGCATGGGTCTGCATTTTGGCAAGCAGAGCCAATTGGGAAACTTGTGGGCAAACCCAGATTTTCCCTGCCTTGCACTGGTTTGGAACACTGTTGCTTGAGGGGGGCATTTTCTTAGGGCCCCCTTCCATCTGGGAGTAGTTCTGCCAGGAAAAGCAACTGTCGTGACCTCAGTATGGGGTGAGCACTATCCATTAGGCTTCCTGTGGGCGGCACCATAAAATGGAAAGTCTCCATGGCAAAAACAGACAACCAATAACCAAACAGTCCTATAAAACCAAGTATTAAAAAACCACAAGGAAACATATATCACTGTGGGGGGAAATTCTCCTTATATAAGAAAGCATATAATTAGCTATTGCTGTTTTTAATATTTTGCTAGTGATGCTGCCTCAGCAGAAAAAAGGCCAGGGCTGATGACAAAACATGTGATTTCAACCAAAGCTGTACAATTAATAGTTTCTGGGTTGGGTTCATCTCTCAAAAAACTTTCCCTTGGGCCCTGGAGATATCACTAAATTTCAGACATGTTGTGTTCAAATGCTTTTCTAGTTTCTTTCATAACACAAAGCTGCTGTGCTTCCTCTTTCTAGGATTTGCCATTGGCACCTTGGCTGTACCAGAGTATATCTGTTGTATAACTATCAAGCCATGATAATCCCATGTTATTCACTTCCATCTTGTAATACTGTGGAATCCTGGGAGTTGTAGCAGGGAAAGCTAGAGACTTTGTAAAACTGCAGATCCCGTGATTCCATAGCATTAGACCACAACATTTATTGTGGTGTCAAACTGCATTAATTCTGCAGAGGTTAAATGTGTCTTAGACTACCTTGGAGAATATAATAATATGCTTTATTTATATTCCACCCTATCTCCCCAAGGGGACTCAGGGCAGATTACAGTACATATATAAGGCAAACATTCAATGCTGTTATACAGTTAACAAAGACAGACAGTGCATAAACAGTGGTAAAGGCTTCCCATCTTTTTCCATCTCTGGTTTTTGGAGGCTGTGCTCAACTCTGGCCACAGGAATGCTGTCACTCCATCTTTCATGCCGAGGAGCTTTGCTGTCCTTAAATACTCTCCCAATTGAATTGCCGGCATGTCCGCATGGGCGCCTTTAATTACCACCCCGCCAAAGTTTATCTACTCACATTGCTGTTTTCGAACTGCTAGGTGAGCAGAAGCTGGACTGACAGTTGGGAGCTCACTCCAACCCAGGCTTGAACTGTCGAGCTTTTGATCAGCAAGATTTTCTGCAGCTGGCAGTTTAAAAGCCCGGCCCAACACAAATGCGTAGCCCGACGCAAATTGAGAAGCCATTTGTGTCAGCTAGAAGCTTGATTTTGGTGAAAGCTTAATTTCCTTTGCATTTTCCCCTGACAATCTCTGTGGAAATGCTCTTTTTAAGAGCTCATCTTTCCTTTTATTGTTATCGTTCAGGCTATATCCACCTGATGTCTCCCTTTGTTGAGATGATCCTGTGGTACGTCGGCTTGTCCGCCTGCCTTGGCCTCACTGTGGCCCTTTCCATCCTCTCGGACATCATTGCACTCCTGACCTTCCACATCTACTGCTTTTATGTCTATGGAGCAAGGTGGGTGTGCTTTAGTCACTTCTGCTTGGCCGTAGTGCTGAGGAACATTTTGATTCATTTCTTACTCAATATGGCTTAGCAGACAATGTCTCCAAGCTGGGTTTACCGCCATCCTTCCATTTATTGAGTGACTTTTAGGCAAGTCATGTGCTTTCACCCTCAGTTCCTCATCAGCAAAATGAATTAATAGGATTTCGCTCAGGATGATTGCTGATAATCACCAACAAAATTTGAAAATTAAGAGAAAACAAAAAACAGGATTTTTCAGCAGAAGACCCTGGGAAACTGTTGGAACGTGTGCCACGTTTTCTATATTCAGGAATATCCATTGGCCAGCATTGCCAAACAGAAACTTTAAATAGTTATGCTTGGCACCATCAAATTCTATAGAACTAGGGAAGGATACTTTACTCCGCCAATTTTTTAATATTTTTAAAATGAAACTTCTTACCCAGGTGTTACAGGGATCTCCCTTGGAGGTGAGGCTGGAAAGTTATAATTACTAGAAGATTGTACAAAATACGCTTCTCTATTTTTGTCTGTTTGCTCAACCTTTAGTCTCAACAGCCTTAGTCAGACTTGAGTGATCACTGCCTTCAATAATAACTTCGGCAGTTCTCAACCTGGAAGTCCAGGATGTGCCTATTAGGGATATTCAGAGATAGATTAGAACAACCGGAAAGAGGAATTTGCCTGTACAGCTTTGCGGCTGCACACATTACAATTGCCAAAGATTGGAAAGGGGAGAAAATATTAAGCATTAAAAATTGGAAGGATAAACAGTGGGACTTTGACAGATGGCTAAATTTTCTAGCAATTTGAAATATGAATATGATGAAACATTTGAAAGAAACTGGAAGCTGGCCTTAGCATACTTGATGGGAGATTTTAAGAAATAAAAACAAAAGGAATTTATTGCGCTAGAAGTACAGAGGGTTAAATAAAATGTGCATAAACTCCGCGGGGACCAGTGATGGAAGCCAAGGTGGTGGGTAGCACTGGGAGTGGGTTGAGGGGTAATTTTACTGTGAGTGGCGGGTTGTCTACGTATGTGTATGTGTATATGTTTGTAATGTATATGGTGGGAGTACTACATTTATTTTTATTTTTTTTTAAAATTATAACTTTGGCAAGCAGATACAATCCGGAAAGTTTTCACCAAATCAGTTAACCCATGTAGCAGACTCCAAGCATCAGTTCATTTTTTGGGAGGTATGTTGGATTACAGCTCCCAAAAGCCCTTGCCAGGATAGTTAATAGTAAAGAATACTAGGTTTACATCAAAATACTATAAAACGTTCCAAGACATCCTCATACTGCAATTACAAAAGGTTATGAATAAAATAATGGGGGGAAAAATAATACCAGAATCCTGGAAGGCTGCAATAATCACGTTAATACATAAAGAGAATTCAGATAACACGATGGTCAAAAATTATAGACCTATATCATTATTAAATGTGGATTACAAGATATTCACAGGTATACTAGCCGCCAGGTTAAAAGACCTACTAAGCACCAGGATAGAAGAAGATCAAGCAGGCTTTCTCCCAAAACGCCAACTAAAAGACAATATAAGAACAGTCTTAAATGTTATTGACTATTATGAAAAAAATAAATAACCAGAAAGAGATAGCCCTAATGTTTTTGGATGCTGAGAAAGCGTTTGACAACGTTAATTGGAATTATGTCAACGCCGTCTTAAAAGAAATGGACATAGGATATGACTTTCTGAACGCTATAGAATCAATATACACAGAGCAAAAAGCAAAGCTTTCAATAAATGGCCAGCAATCAACAGAAATCCCGATAACAAAAGTCACTAGACAAGGCTGCCCTCTTTCCCCGTTATTATTTATCCTGGCACTTGAGACCCTTCTATCCAACATCAGGAAAAATACTGAACTGAGAGGTTTAAGAACTAAGAACCACACTTTTAAAATACGCGTGTTTGCAGATGATATAGTATGCTTTATAGAAGACCCTAGAAACACCATAAATAACTGGATACATGAAATTGAAACTTACGGGGAGGTGGAAGGATTGAAGATCAACAAGGATAAGACACAGATTATTACTAAAAACATGGGAATAGAAAAAAGAGAAGATTCAAGAAAGAACAGATATTAAGGTAGTCCCAAAAGTAAAGTATTTAGGAATAATAATTGCACCCAGTAACTCACACTTGATAAAGAACAATTATGATAAAAAGTGGACAGAAATTAAAAACAAATTGAAAAGATGGGAACATCTAAACCTCTCTCTCCTGGGAAGAGTGGCAATCACTAAAATGAATATACTACCAGATCTCCTATTTATTTTCCAAGCGCTCCCAATACTAAGAACAAGCAATATGATTCAGAAATGGCAAAAAGAGATACTTAGATTCATATGGAAGGGGAAAAAGCATAGGATAAGTGCAAAAAAATTGTTTGATGATAAGAAAAGAGGAGGCCTAGCTCTACCAGAATTACAATTGTACTATGAAGCGGCAGCCTTGACCTGGATAAGAGATTGGGTAACATTAAAAAAGAAGAAAATCCTTGCCTTGGAAGGCTTTGACATTATTCAAGCCTGGCACGCATATCTCTGGAGGGGGAAGGACAAGAAAGAAAGAAATGTCAGAAACCACCCAATATGAGCCGCACTCATGCAGATATGGAACAAATACAAAGAAAGACTCCATCAAAAGAACACCTATGTGGTTCTCACCCAATGAGGCTTACCACAAAAGGAAATTACCGAGAGAGAAATGGTTGACTTATAAACGACTAGTCAAAATGGAAAATCAAGAAGCGAACCTCAAATCACAAGAAGAACTTACATTAATAGACCCCACAATATCATGGTTCCAGTACCACCAAATAAAAGAAAATTTCAAAATTGACAATGCAATAGGCTRRGAAAAGAAAGAGACTTTTTGGGATAAAATAATAAARACWYATACAAAACTAATCKAAAWATATATATAACCAYCTATTAACATGGATTACYGAGACTGAACTAATAAAAGACAACATGACAAATTGGTRGAGAGKTATTGGACGATCTATTCCATTAGTGAATTGGMAGGAGYTATGGCAAAAAAAGATCAARTATACGTATGCTACAGATCTTAAGYAGAGCTGGTACAAGATCTTCTTTAGATGGTACCTAACACCYGAAATTTTGGCAAAAATAAATAAGGGTAAAARGAAAGACCTATGTTGGAAATMCMAAAAAGAAAAAGGCAYTTTCYTCCATATGTGGTGGGGCTGTAGAAAAATCAAAAACMACTGGCMACAAATTCATAAAAACATAGAAAAGATCTTAAATATAAAACTAAATCCAAGACCGGAGACACTACTGTTGGGAATATTAGACACTAAAATAGAAAAAAATAAAGATAAAGCACTTTTCTACTTAATTGCAGCTGCAAGAATGACACTAGCAAAAGTGTGGAAAACAAAGGAAATTCCCACAGTAGAACAGTGGATAGTGAAGATAATGGATATAGTCAGTATGGACATACTAACTCAAAAAAATCTCACTCAATAATGCAAAGCCCAAGAAAACGGACTGGAAAGCAGTCTTAGATTTTGTTAGAGAACAGAAGAAAGAGATATATATCATGGATGTGTAATTAAAACCCAAGGAGAATAATGACAAAAAAATAGATAAAAATAGTAATAAGCGAAGAGATTAATATGTTTGTGGGAATATAAATGGTTTTTTCAAATAAGACTATGGAAAGAAAAATGTAACACTTTGTATTCATGTTAAAATTTGAACAGGTATAAACAAGGACAAACATGTGTAACTGATGCAATGGATAGAAACAACCTGGGTAGTCCTGGAAGTAAAAACTATCTTCCCCTTCCCCCTCCCCCCACCTCCTGTATAGTGTTCCCTGTCCCCACCCTGCCCTCCCCCCTCCTTTCTTCCCCATCCACACTCCAAGGTCTATGTACCCCCCCACCCCCACTCCTCTCGACTCGATCCCTTTCTTTTATTGTAAATGTGGAAAATTTAATTTAAAAAAAAGAATACTAGGTGATATATTTTAGAAAGATGTGGAGGCCTTCAGGACCCCTATCCCTGTTTTATGCTTACAAGTTGGAGCTCTCTCTCTTGAGTCTTGGATCAATGTCTTTTGTCACCTACCAAGCAAAGCATTGCCATGTGGTACTTCCCTGAACCACTAGGGGGCACCATGCTCTTTTTATGTCACAAATAGAAAAATGGGGACTAAGTGCCTGTGTGCCCATTGCGATGCATCCCAATTTATAACAGCCGTTCCCAACAAAATCTTAGTTGCTTAATCTTTAGTATGGAATGAACAAGGATAATAAAAGGAAGCCACAGAAGCAAAGCAAAGTTTCACAACAGATATCCTGTCTGTGAATACAAGGGCAGATTTTCCTTCTTAGAACAACCGCAAAGGCACCAGATCCCATCTGATATTGGAAGTTAAGAAGGGTCAATCCTGTTTCTTGGAGGGAAGACTGCCAAGGAATACTAAGTACTGCAACCTATATTTCGGAGGACAAAACAAGAGAAACAACATTTTGCCAGTTTTTTTTTCCTTTGAAATTTAAGTTCCCCTTCCAGAGGAAGTCCAGGTTAAATCCCTGCAAAGGCCTCTTTGATACATACTGTAAATATAAGGAAGAGTCGGAGAGGTCTCTTCTTTTAATGCTTCTTCAGCAGGAGTACATGCATCAGGAGTCCAGAGTATATGCCTTCCGGATGTTGTTAGACTGCAGCGTACATCATCCCTAACAATCCTTGCCAATGGTAAGAGATAAACGGAGTCACAGACGATCAACGCATTTCCCACCTGTGACTATAGAATAGTTCTTTGGGACTGCAACTTGGGCTGGCTTTTGGAATGCAGATGAACTGCATTGAACTGAATTATATGGCAGTGCAGACTCATATAATCTAGTTCAGAGGAGTTAATCTGCATTGGGAAAACTGGATTGTATGGCAGTGCAGATCCAACTTTGGGTGTTGTCCCTTCAGCCTGATGGTGTCTCCTCCTCCTCTGCATCTAGACTCTACTGCCTCAAGATCTATGGCTTGTCATCCCTGTGGCGCTTGTTCCGTGGGAAAAAGTGGAACGTCTTGCGGCAGCGAGTGGATTCCTGTTCCTATGACTTGGACCAGGTAGAGGCTTTTGGGAAGGAAGAGGGAAGAAATTCAAGTTATAAGGGGAATGAACACAGGCAGGTGCACTAACAAAGACCTTAATTTGACATTATTTCCAATAGCATGCTGTTTTCCCCCATTAGTGTCACGATATGTCATTGCGTTGGCAGGAACAGCTGCGATTAAAGCCTTGTTTTGTTCATGAACTAGATGTGCTCGTGGAGGAAAGCACCACGCATGCTGATCGCTATAGATGCCGGCGTATACTACCAGTACACGGCTCCGTTTTTACTCCTGGCTTATAATAATATGACACAGAGAGAGCCTTCCTGTTTTTTAGCGGGCCCTGAATGTCACCCTTCTTTGCGGGCCAATTTTCTTACCCGCTTTCAAGCAGTTATCTCTGAAGGGGGCATCATCCTGCGAAGCCCTCTGGCAGGTGCCTGATGCCACATGAGTCAGAGCACAGGGTGTGATAATGGGGCGGCAGTGGCAGGGAAAGCAATTGGAGCAAAAGACACCAAATAATTACAGCCATACCCAACAGGGTTGCCATAGTTACCTGCTGCTTTGTGTTTCTATTAAAAGGCCGACTTAATTCACATCGAAGGCCCACACGTTCCCATCGAGATGTGGAAGGAATATATATATATATATATATATATATATATATATATATATATATATATATAATCTCCTTGCCTTTTTTCTGAAATGTCAAGGGAACGGCAGAGGCAGCATTGTAGCTGTCCTTCACCCCCACTCTCCCCCACTGTCCAGGTCACATTTCGGGGGGGGGGGGGGGGGGGGGGGGGGGGGGGGAAGAGTTGGAAACTTGAGCTTTTTAAACAATCCTTCCACTCTGTTTTATTCCTTGGCTGGTGGCTAGCCAGAGTTTGGATTTTTTTTTTTACCTTGAGAATCAGTTTTTATTTTTCTTAACTTACTTTTGTAACTTCTTTAAGCAGACGTAACTGCTGACTTTTCTGTGAGGGTGCCCATGCATTTCTAAGCTTGCCGATGTCCAAAAGGAACTCGCTGCTGTTAATCTTTTTTTGCCAAAGCAGCATTGTCCCTTGTTGTATAATAACAACAACTACTACTACAAAAGCTTATACAATACGAGGATTTAAAGATGGAACTGCAAAGACTGGCACAAGCACTCAAGGTGGTCCCAGTGGTGATCAGCACACTGGGTGCAGTGCCTAATGACCTTGGCCTGCACTTAAACACAATCGACGCTGACAAAATTACCATCAGCTGCAAAAAGCCACCTTACTGGGATCTGCGCGCATTATTTGCCGATACATTACATAGTCATAGACACTTGGGAAATGTCCGACGTGTGATCCAGTACAACAACCAGCATAGTGATCTTGTTTGCTGTGTACTAATATTGTTGTGTTTCAAATAATAATAACAACAATAACAACAAGAGCAACACTTTATTTATATCCTGCTCTATCTCTCCGAAGGGACTCAGAACGGATTAGAGCAAACACTGATAGGCAAATGTTCAGTGTCTTTAATATAGTGAAATCACAATGACAAATGAATACACAGAACAATGGTAAAGGCTTCCTTTTCATCTCTGGCTTCTTGAGGCGGTGCTCAACTCTGTCCATGAAAAGGTGCTCTTTCTCTATTTCCAAGGAGGAGCCTGTTGTCCGTAGACACCTTCTGGTCGTGCTTCACTGCCATAGCTGCATGGACACCCTTTATTACCTTCCTGCTGAAGTGGTACCTATTTATCTACCCACATGTGCATGTTTTTGAACTTCTAGGTTGGCAGGAACTAGAGATGTCAGTGGGAGCTCACCCCAGCCCACAGCTTCCAACTTCCAACCTTCTGTTCAGCAGTTCAGCAGCACAAGGGTTTAACTTATTGCTCCAACCGTGCCCCCCAGATCACGGATTCTTATGCCTTTTCCACTCCTGACCCCTTTCCACCCCAGAAATTTTGAGGTCATCCCCCAGATATCTAGGTATATAAAATAGGTGTAAACATTTAACATTTACTGATAATGGATCATCATCTGCATGGACTTCAAAAGATGTTCCTTTCTGTGGGGTACAGCATTATTTGCAGAGTTCACTACAAACTGTTGTTTCTAACAGATTTGTGGAAATGGGTGGCATTCAGAAACAATTTTTTTAACCCAAAACTTGATCAAATTACATTAGCCTGTGCTCCCATAGTCCCCCAGCCAACCTGACTAGTGAGAGATCGTGAGAGCTGTCATCTTAAAATGACACCAAGCTCTGACTAAGCCTGCAGAGATCCTGGTGGGGATTTTATCTCGGCCATCAACACATACCATGCATAGTCTTTGTACTTCCAGTATGTAGAAGGTCATTTATTTATATGTTTTGCAGGGTTCCCAAGTAAACCAGATGTTCATGAAAGCAAGACTGTGGCCTTTGGCCTTCCAGATGTTTTGATTTCTCTCCACTGGCTGTGTTGGATAGGGCTGGTGTACAAAACAGCTGGAGGGCTAAAGGATTCCCATCCTTGATATTGTCTCCTATTTTTCGAGACTTGGAGCATTAAAAATACATCTCTTCTGGTTCGCTCAATATACTGTGCTGTCGAGAGAGCCTTCGTAAACCCATAATTATAGATATGATAAAGAGAATGTACACAGAATTTTTTTAAAAAACAAAAACCATAGTGCTGTCTTTCTAAGAGGTTGAAAAGAAGAATTTCTCACTCTTACAGCTTTGTATTTCCACCATGCTTTAGATTTGTTCAGGAGCCCCTGGTGGCGCAGTGGGTTAAACTGCTAAGCTGCTGAACTTCCTGACCAAAAGCTTGGCGGTTCAACTCCAGGAAGCAGGGTGAGCTCCAGCTGTTAGCCCCAGCTCCTTCCAATCTAGCAGTTTGAAAACATGCAAATGTGAGTAGATCAATAGGTACCACTTTGGTGGGAAGGTAACGCCGCTCCATGCAGTCATGCTGGCCACATTATCTTGGAGGTGTCTAAGCTCTTTGGCTTAGAAATGGAGACAGGCACCTTCCCCAGAGTTGGACTCAACTAGACTTAATGTCAAGGGGAAACCTTTACCTTTACTTAGATTTGTTCATATAGTTTATCTGTGCTAATCCTGGGTTATTTAATGGGTTTTTTTCCTTCCCCAGTTATATATTGGCACGCTGTTATTCACCATATTGCTGTTTCTCCTGCCAACAACTGCACTGTATTATTTAGTCTTTACTTTGGTAAGTTTGCCTTTCTTGGGACTATGTGGAGGTGGTAAAGTAGGATACAATGAAGGCAGTAGGGGTAAATTTTGTGTCCCACTGCCCTTTTATTTTGCCTTAGAAAAAACTAATAACTTCCAGGGGATACAGTTAACCACTCTAGTCTTTTTCAGACTTTTTCCTTGGCCTCATTTATATTCATACAGGATTTTTTTCCTTTCCCTTTAGTGGGGCTGTGCAGACAGATTCTCTAGGCCCATACATACACTTTGTTCAATGATTGTGAAAGCACTTGCCTGGATGATACCATAAATGTTTGTGAGTGGTATGCTGGATGCAAGTGAAGATCCCAGGGCAATAGGGACCTTACTGTGTACAGAATTGATGTGTACATCATAGGATTGCTGGTTCTGTATCTGTAAGGGGTCAGTTACAGTGGCTTAGGAAGTCTGACTTGGCTATGATAGTCCATGCTCTGGTTACATCCCGTATAGACTACTGCAACACGCTCTACATTGGGTTGCCTTTGAAGACTGTCCGGAAGCTTCAAATAGTCCAACTGATGGCAGCCAGATTGTTAACAGGAGTAGCACTCAGGGAGCATACAACTTCTCTGCTGCACCAGCTCCACTGGCTGCCAGTCTGCTACCGGGCACAATTCAAAGCACTGGCTTTAGCCTATAAAGCCCTAAACGGTTCTGGCCCAATTTACCTATCCGAATGCATCTCCCCTTATGAACCATCTAGGACCTTAAGATCATATGGGGAGGCCCTGTCCTTGATCCCACCTTCATCACAAGTATGTTTGGTGGGAACGAGAGACAGGGCCTTCTCAGTGGTGGCCCCTCAGCTATGGAACGCCCTCCCTAGGGATATCAGATTGGCTCCCTCCCTCCCTCTTAATGTTTCGGAGAAAAGTTAAGACATGGTTGTTTGAGCAAGTGTTTACAAATGCAGAGTAACTGGCATGGAAATGGAATGACTAGACGATGGAACTGGACAATGTTTTAACAAGGAGATGCCAATGATGTTGATTTTATTGTTTCTGTTATGGTTTTATATTATTTTTAATGTGTTAATTTGTATTTTGATATTATGTGTACTGACTTGTTGTAAACCGCCTTGAGTCGCCGACAGGCTGAGAAAGGCAGTATACAAATACAGTAAATAAGTAATAAATAAATGTGCTGCTGGTACAAATCTAACCAGGAAAAATATTCTTCCAGCTGCGTCTGCTGGTGGTGGTTGTACAAGGCCTGATCCATTTGCTAGTGGACTTCATCAATTCGCTGCCCTTGTACTCTGTCCTTCTTCGGCTTTGCCGATCCTACAGACTCGCCTGTAAGTTTGACAGCTCTCTCATTTCCCACCTTGCTGGTTGTTTTCTACATCTACACCAATGCTCACACAACCCTTTCCTATGTTTGCTTTAATTTGAGAAGCTAAATAGAAAATTATTTCCCACACCATTATCCTCTAGAACAGGCATGGGCAAACTTCGGCCCTCCGGATGTTTTGGACTTCAACTCCCACAATTCCTAACAGCCAGTAGGCTGTTAGGAATTTGAAGTCCAAAACACCTAGAGGACCGAAGTTTGCCCATGCCTGCTCTAGAACCCAGTAACACAATTATTGGGAAAAGGAAATTCAGAATGTGGATTTTAGAAATATCCAGAACACATTCATTCTGAATCCAAAGATTTTAGAAATATCCAGAGCACATTCATTCTGTATCCAAACTTCAACCATAACACCAAGAAATACGTTTTCGACACACAGCTTCCAGAATGTAAATCCCAATGGTTTTGAAAAAGAACTTTTCCATACTCTGACTAAACGTAGCTTTATGCAACTATATATAATGCATAATTGTTAACATAACATCAATATAACCCTGACATAGGAGTTGGGTGCTTCTCCCTGCTGCTGGATAGTGTTGATTAAAATGTCGGAATTGCAACCTAACATCTGAAAGTCTGCAGGAATCTGTATTTGTGCACTGTCGTAGTCAGTTGATCTTTTTAATTATTTTATTAGCTCTATTTTTACTCCACCTTTCCCCCAACCCAATATAGGGACTGAAGGTGGCTAAAGCCCATTACCTTCCCTCACCAGCCTTTGCTTGTGTCTTTTCAGCTGGTGTCAAATTCCGGGTTCTTGAGCAGGAGTCTGGGAAACCTCTTCGGCTTTTAATGCAGGTAAAAGGCTTCACTGCCCAGAGAGAATGCCTCTGCTTTTGTGTTTTGTGCCTCTCAGTTTCCATACTGGCTCTTGCATGCAATATGGCAGAACAAAAACCCACAGGAGTGGTGTCTGCAGCTACAAAAGAATAAAAATTATGCTTAAAAGAGGCACTACAGGGATGTGGATCAATGAGATTTCAACTCCCAATGGCATTCACAGCTCAGTGGTAGCTATTGTGCTTTACACATAGAACATCCCAGATCCAATACTGGATGTCGCTAGGCTAAAAATTCCGTTAACCCTCTCCACTGGCTTTATTGATGTGAGCTTGTGTTTAGCCACATCTGCATGGCCAAGAGCAACCATCCTCCATTAAGAGGAGTTGTAATTAAAACAATATTCCCCAGTTTCTCTTGTGAAAAGGTGACACTATAATAACAATATCCTTCTGTACTGTACAGAAGACCCATCATGTTCAATAAATAATCTGCTACACATGATTTTTTTTCCTTGGGAGGTCCATTGGAAGAATGTGAGGATAATTCACAGAGGGGGAAATCACTACTTTGATTTGCTCAACAAAAACACTAAGTCTGTAATACTGTACATCCAGTGTAGTTTTATACTTATACATACTTGTGCATTCCTTTTAAAAAAGGCAAATGTGGAGGTGGCTTCAGGTGCTCTGGAAGCATGCTGAAAGCCAAGGTTTGGAGATATACTGAGTACAGACGTATCAACATTGCAATAATTACTTTAAAGTCTGAAGGCTGACAAAAAGGATTTTCGGCGGGGAGGATGACTTGGGAGGAAGCTTTCAATTGGCACGTTGTGAATTGCACACACTTCTTCTCCCCATCCCCTCCAGTGTTTTGTGAAATTGTATAGCTCTTATCCCCAACATATGTGGCTTGATAATGAAGTGTCAGCTGGGTGTTTTTGGATGCTGTCCAGCCCTGAAGAGAGCCTGGTCCTCTCTGAGCTCAGCTCAAATGGAAGTGGTTTGCTGGATCATGGCCAGAACACTTCCGATATATATTGTATAAGGTCAGACCCACAATTACCCACTTTTACCAGGCTTTTTTTTTTTTTTTTTGTAGAAATATATAAAATTATGTCTTGGCATGACAAATCTCCAATGGCTGAGATGCTTAAAAATCCCTTCTTGTCCTCACCTCCCTTTAGCTAACTGTGACAGAAGCTGCACTTTCGGGTAGCATGTGTTCCAGTCTCATTGTGCTAATTGTCTTCCACACATTGGGCCAGAGCTTCTGCCATTTGCCAAATGCTCAAGCTGTTAGTGCTTTTATTTAAGTGCATATTAATGGAGATATCGGAAATGTTCCATCCAGTGCATGGGCCAACTTTGGCCCTCCCTCCAGGTGTTTTGGACTCCAATTCCCACAATTCCTAACAGCCTACCGGATGTTGGGAATTGTGGGAATTGAAGTACAAAACACCTGGAGGGAGGGCAGAAGTTGGCCCATGCCTGCTCTATTCTGCACAATACTATGTTAATGCCTCTCTCTCCTCTTTGCCACCAGATCAATCCTCTCCCATACAGCCGTGTGGTGCAAACGTACAGGCTCCCAACATACAGCTGCTACCCAAAGGACTCCTGGGTCTCTCTGTGCAGGAAGCTTTTTGTTGGAGAGTTAATCTACCCTTGGAAGCATAAAGGAGAAAAACAGGCGGGCTCCAAAGAGTGAACATTGCAGAGGAAGGGCCATTGTCCAAGTCATTGCCACCTTGAAACCAGCCGTTGCAAAACGGTAGCCAAACACACAACTCTTTTGCAAAGATCTTTGTATTATACCAGAGCTAGGGTGCTTTCCGGGCCTTTTTCCAGGCGGTCGGGGAAATTGCCTCTCACCACCTCCATGATTTTTTTTGTAATGAAATGTTATTTCATCCTGAATTAGAGCTGCATCCCTAGAAAGCAACAATGGCCATAACCTGACGTGATTCTTCACAGTGTCTGATAGAAAACCGATAGGAGTGTGAACCATTTGAATGTGGAAAACTGACACTAGCCATGCCAACTGGAGAGCTCTGAGAACTGTGGTCCAGAAAATGTAACTTTTCCAGGTTTTGCAAATAATAACCCTATATAGTATAGATTTAGCATGATATTCTACTTTTTGGAGAAAGAAATCCACAAGGAATCTCAAAAGCCAAAGGGGTGATTAAGTTAAAGTTGGTTGACTGAGAAAAAAATCATTGGTTAAAATGGTCCACCTTATGGAAACAGTTGGTGCCTTTAGAAAATTGTACAGAACGTTTGGTGCCACAGGCAGAAATAACATAGAATAGGGATAAGTTGCTACACCATAAGAAAGAAGCGCAGTTCAACGTAGCATTTTTTCAATTTAGAACTAATAACATGTCAGTGTGAAATGAAACTACTAAGTCAGTTTAGAGAGGTTTTTTTTTGTTGCCTATTTCTTATGGCGTCTTTTTTCTGGATCCAATTCACAATGCTGTACAGAGGAACACTATTTTAAACATAGAAGGAAAAAAGCAGCCATGTCTGGGCATATACTTATACCAGATGAACCAGAATATACACTCGTATTTTAAACTACATTTCACTTCTGGAGAAAATGTTTAGAAGTCCTCTTCCCTTTTTTATGTGCCTGTTTATCATTGTTGGGGATTTGTTGACCTGGGGAGGCAGCATGTTGGTGCTGCTCCAGTAACAGGCTGAGGGGAACAAAGCAACATCTTCCCAACTAAAAAAAATCCTTGTTGCCCTGCAGACCTTGACGTCCTGCTGTTTGTGCAGTAAAGGAACATTCTTCCTTGAAAGAATTCTTCTTTTCCTCCTTGCAAACACAGATAAAGCCCTTACTGGCCATTGCAGTCTCCTCTGTGCAGAAAGGGAGGTCCTCTCATTTTCATGCTGAGCACAACGGCCTTTGATTTGCTAATGCCAGCCCTCCCCAATGCAAAAAGGAAGGCTCGCCACTCAGTCTTCCCAGCCTGTACACTGACAGTCCCTGCCTTATATAGATGGCCAAACCCTGGAGAAAGCAGAAGGGTTTTCTCCAATTTTGCCCTGAATAGGGCTGGGGTTTCCTTTTCCTTTCTGTTAGGATATCTTTTCCAATAAAAATAATGTATGTGAACACCTCTTGTGATCATTCTAGTGGTGTATCTGTGTTAATCTGCCATTGCAAAAACTATATTAAACCTTCAAGTCATTCCCAACTTAAGACAACCCAGAGGAAGCTATCACAGGGTTGGCAATATTGTCTGGAAAGGGTTGCCTTTGCTTGTTGGCTCAATCAGCATGTGATAGCGTCAATGGGAAATATGTTCTACTTCAGAAAAAGAGTGTTTTCCTTGAATGTAATTCAACCAACAGCCTAAAATGTCACCCATGTGTATGTCATGCATACATCCTTTTTTTGAGCAATACAGTATGCAAGGGGTTCTCGTGCCCATATCATGACTGCTTCTCAAAAGAAAACCTTCCTTTAGGGCAGCACTTGATTCCCATCAGATAGGATTATTAGGCAAATCTGCTGCTTTTCTGCAGTGGAGACCAAAGACAACCTTTTGGAAAAGACAGGAGGGCCTAATTTTGAGAACTCCCATTGTGTGGGAAGCTGGGCACTGGTTTCATATTATTGGTGCTGTGCAACTCTTTGAAGTTTCCCCTGTTTGCACTATAGCAAACAACTTTCCATTGCTCCCAGGCCAGCGTATGTATGAATTATTTTGAAAATCCATTGCAGTGTCAAAAATGATTTAATCTCCCTTGCAGTTGGAAAAACAGAGGGATCAGATTGTCCAGTACGGTCCGCTAAATGAGAAAAGAATATGAATTTGTACTTTCCTCTCCTTCCCGAAACTGCGTCTGTTGCTTTAGCCCTGGATCAGATTCAAACCACTGAAGCCATCTGGTGAGTCAGGGTTACAAACCAGCTGATCTCAGGAGCTTTCTGTTTGTCTAAACGTGTGTGGCAGCTGGTACATGCATGTGGATATTATTCACAGCATTCCATTTATTTATTATTTATTTATTTGCTTTACTTCTATACCGCCTTTCTCAGCCGAATGGTGACTCAAGGCGGTTTACACAGTAAAGATCAACACAACAACATCAAAAGGCAATTAAAACACATTATACAAACATATCAATTCAAAAACAATCATTATCATAAACGTGCGCCTCAGCAAACAAATCAGAATCCGCAATCAGAATCCTTTATACCAATTCCTATGTTCAGTTGTACCATCTTACTGTATTTCGTTGCACTATTTAGCCAAACGCTTGTTCGTAAAGCCAAGTCTTGACCTTCCTCCGGAATGCCAGCAGTGAAGGGGCCTGTCTGATGTCCACAGGTAGGGCGTTCCACAGCCGAGGGGCCACCACCGAGAAGGCCCTATCTCTCGTCCCCGCCAACCGCGCCTGCGATGCGGGCGGGACCGAGAGCATGGCCTCCATGGTGTAATTGCTCACGAGCTGGCATTCTAAATCTTCTCAGTGCAAGATGTACCCCAAAAATGGAGGAGGCAGAAGAAAAGGGCCAGGGTTACATGGGAACTTTGCCCTCCCCTGTTCCCAGATCTGCAAAGCATATGTTCAATGTGCCAGAGGACCTGAATTCAATCCTTGTCATCTCCAGGGAAAGATTCCTTGCCAGACACCCTGGGGATCCATTGATAGGTAGTGTATTGCAGGCAAGGAGTGGTAAGAAGGGAACACGGATCCAGTGACAGATTTCAGCCTCCAGGTGATCTTAAAAACCTTGAGTCGCGTTGTCAGTAGTTTTTAACAACAGCAAGTCAAAGCAAAACAGTGATTTGTTTTCTATGGTTCTTGTATCAGTCATTTGTCTCTTAACTTCAGTCTTCTTCAGCTGTAAAAGACCTGCTTTTGAACAGGTCTTTGTACGTCAAAAATTGGCTTGCCGGCATTGGAGCAATATCAGGATTCCCAATCTAGAGCTACTCAAGTGTAGGTTAGGACACCAAGCTAGTAAGAGAACGGCAAAAAATAACTGTTTCCAGTGACTCGGCTACACCAGTCATTTGCATCCGGTTTTTCATTATACGTCTCTCAACCACTGCTTGACACTTTGCTCTTCTACTTGGACTGAAGTTACTAATACAAAGCCAAGCAGATCCAACAACTATGAAGTCTGCATACATCTGGTATAGACATTGCAAGCTAGTTTAAATGGTATGCACTGCTAGGGACTTTCCTTTCATCCCAACATGATTGCTGTGGGGATGGCATCATGCTGCTGCTTCCATCAACAGCTTAAGTCACACAATGTATTCTAAGGACTAAGGATGTGATAGCAAAGCAAAGTATGGAGATCGTTTTGAATGTGCATGAACATACTGAACTGGTATGGAGCTCACCAGCCTCATGCATCACATTTTCAGGAATCAAGCATCACACTGGGAAAACAGTCATTTTCATACCAGCCACCAAAGAAATGCTTGTGGATGAATGCAGTCCATAGCTCAGATATCAGACTTGTTGACCTAAATCTTGTATTCTGATCCAAAGAAGAGCCATTCAATCCTAGATTTATCTAAGTGTTGACTCACCCTTCAATGGTTCTACTCTAGTTGAAAGTCACCAACAGGATGCAAGTTGTTCAAGCATAAGAACAGAAAGAAACTTGAGTTTTAAGCCGTAAATTAGAAAACAAAACGAAATATGAGCTCAGTCTACATGATATGGTCAGTATAAGCATGCAGCTGAACTGCTCTGTTTTACTTAAATATAAGTACTAATGCCCACTAATCTGAATTACAATCATCACACAGTAGTAGAGGAGTTTTTACTCCAACTCTACTGGGTTGGAGTAGAAGCCTTCGACAATGCATCCAACTCTACTATTTGTCATTGAAGATTCCTCTTCTGGTCTTCACCATGCCTGCCCCAAAAGTAAGTGATGCCTTCCTTTCTTTTTGCTTCTGTAGATGGGACCCTGATGACAGTACATTGCACCAGTCCTGTGATGCACATTGGAAGTTGTGTCATGCTGCAGCTATCTAACCATGTTCCCAAAGATCTGATTGCAGATATGTATTGTCGAAGGCTTTCGTGACCTGATTTTCCTAGTTTCCAACAGACCTCACAACCTCTGATGATGCTTGCCACAGATGCAGGTGAAACGTCAGGAGAGAATTCTTCTAGAACATGGCCATACTGCCCGAAAAACCTACAACAACCCAGTGATTGCAGATATGTTTTTTAAAAAGACGGAACTGTTGCCAGATTGCCACTGGAGCTTCTCTGGTGGCACGGCTGTTCATGAAAGGAGCTCCCCAGCAGAGCAATTCAGCCTTTGTAAATTTTCCATCTGAGTGCTTTGCTTTTGGCTGCTGAATCGCCAAGAGGAGAGAGAGATTCTCGTGTGAATTGAGGCAGGAGTTTGTTTTAAAACCCTGCTCTTCCCACTCCCCTTGAAGCCCCGACTTCCTTCCCAAACCAGTCTTGCTTTCAAGCGCTGCCTGGCTCTTAACAGTTCACTAGACAACGCCAGCCCTGAAGGCAACATGCACTACAGTACATTGTCCTCTGTTTAGTTTGGGTGTTTTTGTTTTAAATACGTAATGGCAGTCGGGAAAGCATTGTCTACTCAACTTTTAGCTAGCCGATCAGCAGCTGATAAGGGTTGTGACCAAATCTGGACTGCAAGTGGTTCGCTTTTAACATTTATTATAGTTCTATGCTGTATCCTGCCATACCAGAGTCATTTGTTTGACCCAGGGAGCAAAAGGAAGGGCTCAGCCAATGCCAGCCCAATATTGGTCACTTCCCGGCCCTAATTTCCTACCTTCCTTCACAGTTCTTTTTCTAATATTTGTTTTCCTCCCCACACCCAGTTCAGCAATAGTTGGGAAGTAATTATTTTATCACCAGAGGAAATTGCCAATAATCATCATAATGTATTTTATTTATTCCCTGCTTCTCCTGATGGCCTGAGGTGGGGTACAGCAAATTAAAAAACAAGTGAACATGAAAATACAATAAATTACATAGATAAAAGCACGCACACATGCACACACACCTATATAATAAAAGTCAGTGTTTGTGGGTATGTATGTATCCAGCTGGCAATGTATTTTTCTGGCTGGACTCCAACTTCCAAAGAGCAGTGCAACCCCCACTAACAACAGTGCTGGACCTAATTTGGGACTCAGCCCCCCCCCCATGACCCACTTTATGTGCGGTTTGGGAGAGGATGGACCACAAATTATGGGATTTGCAGTCTCTTCACCTGCTTCCAGACACCACTGCTACCCCCAAAAATGATGTACCTGGACCAAACTTGGCGTGCAGACCCCCCCCCCCCCCAATGACCCACTTTATATGTTGGGGAGATTTGGGGGAGGGTGGAACATGGATGATGGGATTTGCAGTACCTTCACCCTCTTCCAGTGACCACTGTGACCCCACCAATTACCTACTAATGGCAGGTGAACCAAACTCGGGACACAGACACCCCCACCCCATGATGACTATGTCCTTGATGAGGTTTGGGGGAGGATGAACCCACAGATGATGGGATTTGCAGTACCTTCACCCACTTTCACGGGCCATTGTGACCCCCACAAATGACAGACCTGGACAAAACTTGGGATGCAGACCTCTCATCACTGACTTTATGTCTTGGTAAGGTTTGGAGGAGGACAGACCATGGGCAATGGGACTTGCGGTACCTTCATCCACATCCATGGATCTGCACTAATTTCTATTAGGTCCACTTATAACATTCAAAAACAAACAGTGCCTTTTTTTAATAACCCGAGTACTGTTGGGTACCCAAGCTAATGTGTGTGTGGGTGTGTGTGCGCGTGCGCACGAGCAGGAGAAGATAATCCTGTCAGGAACCTGGATTCAAACCACAATACTGGTAGTTTTCTTTCCTAAGGGAACATTTACAAATGAAGAGAGTAAACCTCAGGTGCTTCTATACTGCAGACCGAAGGGAGTTGAGTCACTGTCCCTGCCATTGGCCAGTGTGGGTTGACTGCCTTGGGCAAGAGCTTTGCATGTCATGTAAAGATTGCAAATTGATTTCTATTGGTTTTCCATTTGCTGCTGGGCCTCTGGCGGCAGAAAGTCTTGGACAGTGCCCACCACAACATAGTCATA